CCTTGCTCAGAACACGATTCAGAGTGTAATTCATTATTGCTTCATCCCAGTATTCTCTCGGCATTCCTGACTCAGTAAGCATCGTCCTACATGCTTCAACTAATGTCCTGTTCTTTCTCTTAGAAATACCATTTTGCTCCGGTGAGTAAGCTACAATACACTGAAAGTGAATGCCCTCTGAACGTAAATATTTTTGAACATCCGCACTTAAGTACTCAGTACTTCGATCTGTACGAAACATTTTAACCTTCCTATCGAACGTGTTTTTTAACAGTTACAAGTATTCAATGACCTTTGACTGTACTTCGCTTTTGGTTTTCAATAGAAAAACAGCACAAAACTTGGAATTAACATCTGTGAATGTTGCAAAATAACGAAATCCACCAACTGATGTCATTGGCATCGGGCCACAAATATCGCTGTCTACTGGTGTTGCCTTTTTTGGAAATGGATTCCGAAAAATTTTCTCAACAATGCATGATTCGCAAACGACAGTACAATTACAATCAGTAATCTTCAAAGCTTTGTCTTTCATTGCTAAAATGTCATGCATATTTCTATGAGCCAGTCTGCGATGCCATTCATGTACACAGCATCTATCCACTCGGTCTCCAAATAAATATGATCTCTCGGCTTCGGTCTTCACAATATACATATCGATTGATTTCTCAGCAATTTGTAAATGATCTAAACCTTCCTTTCCGATGAAGCAGCCAGTCGAGATAAATATTGTACTAAAACCTTTGCTACAAAGTTTAGAGACAGAAATCAGATTACTGTCAATGCATGGCACTAGAAGTACGTCAGTCAAATCTACGGAAAAGCTTTTATTCTCTACAAAAACGTTCAAACGGACATCCCCTCGTCCTATGTACTCAACTTTCTCCCCATTCGCAACAGTGTCATTTGAGAAGAGGCTCCTGAGTCAATACACTACTGAAAATCCTTGGGATTAAAATAACTTTTGTGCTATGGTCCATAATTTGCCATCTTGGCACTCTCACTTTATTCACTTTCTTCACATCGTACTTTGACATCAACATTGGACAATTTCGCTTCATACGACCTTTCTGCTTGCAGTAGAAACATTCAATTGCTTCCTTCATATCAACCTTGAATAGTTGACCACTAATCTTGCTTGCAGCATCCAAGTCTTTGCTCAAATTATCACTTCGTCGCTCATATTCAAAAAAAAAAATTGCGCTTACAACAAACGTATTTTCTAATTTGTCTCCACAATCTTTAATGTTTTAAACGATAGCAAGCATGTCTTGAATATGCTTCTGCATGTCACCTCCAATTGGCAATTCTGACCTAAAAAAGCTTCTTGTAGAGTCGCAGTTTGTGGCCAATAGATTCATTTAAATGAAATTTTTTTAAAGCCTCCCGTGAATCTTTTCCATCTTTTGAATCAGCAATATGAACGATGATATGAGCTCATTGTCAACCATGAGAGCGATAATAGAAAGCGCCTTTAATCCTTTTGTCTCGTCTTCTTTCTTCTTCAAGCCGGGATCAATCATTTCCCACAAATCTTCTTTAATCAATATCATTTTAATTCGGAATGCCCAAACTCGTTAATTCGAGTTGTTCAATCGCTCAAATATCACCAAACTTTTGTTTTGACCTTCCATCGTTCATGCCCATAACCTCTTGGATAATACAACAATAGTATTTATTTAATAACGATAACTTATTTTACACAACTCTCTTCAATTAAATGTTTTAAAAGAATAACTTTGCAATCAAAATCAGATTGCTTTGATCTAAAGATCATTCGATAATTCAACAAGAGTTCATGATCTATTTTCCTGACTCGACAACTTACTAACCAGAAGATCGAAACAAATCAGTGTCAACAATTGACCTGATGCTTTCGAATTCCAACCTCGAAACAACAGAACTTCAATGCACAGACGCAATGAGTGATCACTGCGCTGTATATTTCCAAATCAAAACATCAAAAATCGACAGAACTGAAAATACAGTCTACAGATATGACTACAAAAATGCAAACTGGAAAAAGTTCAAAGCACAAATTTTAATTAAGCAATACAGCAGAGGAGATCGAGAATCACATTAAGATTCTCTCTAAACTCATAATGGAAGCGAGGAACTCAAGTGTAAAAATGAAAAAGATCAATTTCGAATCAATTAAACTCACACCGTAGATTAAAGATCTAATCAATACAAATCTGAATTGAATTATCTGCAGAGAGTAATCAATGAGACAATTAAAGAACTCAAAAACAAAAACTGGAATAAACGTCTCTCAGAGATTCAACCGTCAAACCAAACAGTTGGGAGAATAGCAAAATTTTGCAAAAAAGGTTCAAAAACAATGCCTTCATTGACAAATTTGGGTAAAACGTTCATCACCAACAAAGAAAAAACCAGCGCACTCAGTGAGTATTTTCGTGAAGCTCACGAAAATCCTCTGGAACAAAACGACCCACAACATACACAGGAAGTAAACAACACAGTCAAAGAAGCATTGGAACAAGACAATCATGAGAATCAAGAATTAACAGAACGAAATCGTGAGCATCATAAGAAATCTGAAAAATCTCAAAGCTCTGGGACTAGATAAAGTCAACAACATATTCATAAAAATCTTCAATTCGTGTCTGAAACTCGATCACTTCCCCAAAGTTTGGAAACACGCAAAAGTGGTTCCTATTTTAAAACCTGGAAAACCAGCAAATGAGTTAAGCAGCTACAAGACAATGAGTCTACTTAGCTCAATAAGCAAAATATTGGAGTATTGCTGAACAGAATCAACGATCAACGTCTGATGGCAAGCTTGTAGATGAGAAGTTTGTTTCGTACGTCGCGTTGTGAGTTCGTGCTGATGAGCGGTTGTCTTAATGCGGTGTGAGCCCTATTGGTCACATACTCCACATGCGGCTTTAATGTCACTCTCTTATCGATCACCATTCCAAGATATTTAGCTTCTGTTTCCCATTTGATGTTTTCGTTGAGAAATTTGATGTTGTTACTTGGAAGTTGCCTGGAGTGCCTGTTTGTAATGAATATGGCTCGAGGCTTCTGTTTGTTGATGTTGATCTCCATTTGTTCATGTATTGTTGAACTTTTCTTTCTGTGTGCTGTAGATGTGTCACAATGTCAGCCGAGTTCTCTGCAGAATGATACAGTCCTGTATCATCTGCGAAAAAACCGATGTTGTTGGTTGTCTCTCTTACAACATCATACGTGAAGATGTTGTAGAGAGTTGGTGAAAGTACTGCTCCTTGTCTCCTTGTGGCACTCCGAATTTGATTAGGGGCCGTTCACTTATTACGTTACGCAAAAAAACGATATTTTTCACCCCCTCCCCCCTTGTTACAATATGTTACAACTCACAACCCCTCCCCCCCCCCCCCCCCCCCTGAATGTTCATAATTTATTTTATTTTGATAATTTTTTATTCTAAAAAGATGGTTAAATTTCTTTTGTATTTTTTTTTTCTTAAACATCAAAATACTGTGTGCTTATTAGTATTCTCATGAATTATTGGATTGTGATATAAAGCAAAAATTTGTTTTTTCTGAAGAAAATTCAAAAATATCATGAAAAATATTATGCCCGATCGAATTTTGGAAAATTCAATCAACTTTGAATGTAAATATCACAATGATGGGATCATATTAATCATCATATGAATGACAGATTTAGAGAGATTTACTTTTAAACTTATGATTGATTTAATTTTGAAAATTTCCACAAATTATGATTGAATTTTAAAGTCTTGTAAACCAGTTTTCTATTGATTTGTTACTTTATATGACAAAAACTTTGTATTGCTTAGCTATCAAAAGTGATCTGGACATACTTCTTGACCCCCCCCCCCTATGTTACATTTTGTTACAATTTTTAAAACCCCCCTCCCCCCTTAAGTACGAACGTAATAAGTGAACGGCCCCTTACCTTGATTTCTGAAAACTGATCTTTAATAAAAACTGCGAAAGATCTTTCACAGACGAAAGATCTTACAGTTTTTATAAGTGGCAGTGGAAATCTCAGTTTGAGCATATTGTACAAGAGTCCGTTATGCCAGACTCTGTCAAATGTTTTTCTACATCCAGGAAGATCATGCCTGTTGACTTTTTGTTGTTTAAGTTTTATTTTGCTGATTTTATCACTTTGATGAGCTGGTGAGATGTTAATCTTCCAGTCTTGGAGCCGCACTGCTGCCTTGGGATGATGTTGTTATCCTCAAGATGATCGTTGATTCTGTTCAGCAATACTCTCTCCAGTATTTTGCTTATTGAGCTGAGTAGACTTATTGGCCTGTAGCTGCTTAACTCATTTGCTGGTTTCCAGGTTTTGGAATAGGAATCACTTTTGCGTGTTGTCAAACTTTGGTGAAGTGATTGCGTTTGAGACACGAATTGATGATGAGTTTCAAGTATATGAAACCTTTTTCAGGAAGATTTTTGATGAGTATGTTGTTGACTTCATCTAATCCCGGAGCTTTGGGATTTTTCAGATCTCTTATAATGCTCACGATTTCGTTTACATCTGTTAATTCTGGATTCTCATCATTGTCTTGTTCCAATGCTTCTTTGACTGTGTCGTTTTACCTAAATTTATCAATGGAGGCATTGTTTTTGAATTGTTATTTAAATTACCGTATTATTTCTAAAGTAGACAATCGATCATCGATTTCCTCTGCAAGCGGATTAAAATGACAAGAATTCAACTCATGATACTCGTAATGAAAACTTTTCCGATTTTTATCGGTTTGCTCTGTACTCATCTTTTTTAATACTGAACATTTTGTGCGTAGTTAACAAGCTTTAATGATAAGTTCATCAAATAAAAAAAAGATAAGTAATACATATGCAACTAAGATAGTAAATGTAAAATTGTTAAGTTTTATTCATGAAAATAAAATTTTAATCCCATTGTCAGTGCTCTATTAGAGTAATGAACATGATTGTAGATGAATATGAATTTCAATTGACCTTGGGTCTTATAAATTTCCATGTCGTTAATACCTGTTGTAAACAATGTTTTCCTCTTCGGGAGAATCACTTGTATAAATGAAATTTGTTCTCGTACTATTAATTCTATAAATTTTTGTGTCTCCATTATTATTCATAACTTCTAATTTTAAAGTTAAGCACACTTTTAGCGAAAACAAACTTCAACCTTTCAATATCAAAGCTTCAATCTTGAATGCGACAAGTTGTTGATTTAAATATATGCTAAATTGCTTTTCTCATATTTACAATTTAGAAGCTCTTTGTTAATTTAATGATGCTTTGTCTGATTGACAAAGCGATTTTTAACCTCTTAAAACCCTGCTTAAAACTAATTGAAACATAGTTTTATACAAAATTATAGTAACAATAATAATGATGATAATAATAATAATAATAATAACCAATGAATTATCAGTTTAAAATTAACAGTTTAGCGTTTAACATTAAACTTTTATTGTTTAACTATTACAATTCGTATTACATTCCTAATTTTTTTTAGATTTAGTCATAACTATGGAAAAATGCCATTTTGAAAATGCGCTTTAATAAAAAACAGATTTAAATTTTTTAAATAATTATAGAATGCAATCCGTTTTTTTCAATTACAATACAAAAAACTCTTTTTAAAATGAATTCAAAAGAGTTTTTATTTATTACAAAGCACAAATGCTTATATTCATTTTTAATAGATATTTTTTTCAAACCCATTTGTAGCAATTTTTTTGAATTTTTCAAAAAAAAAAATGAAATTTTGTTTAGCAGTTTATAAGCTGAATATCTAAATATGTTCATTGTATATTGCGTACATTAAATCAAAGCAAAAACAATTTCTCTAGACACATATATAATTAGATTACTTGATTAGTTTTTTCTTGGTCAACTTTATCATATTCGTCCTTTAAATCATCAGAAACTTCTTCTTTAACAGATAAATTTGAAAGCCACAAAGCAAAACTTGATTTAGCATTAGAGAAAGTTGTCGTTACTGCAGCTACTGTTTTCCTTGCAGAAGGAGTGTTGTTTATAGATCTTTTATATAAAAAATAAATAAATTTCATTATCATTAAAAGAGATTTTGTTTTTCCTAAATTAAAATACTCAACTGCACTATTTTGTTCCTAACATCAGAAACATTTATCGGTTGACGAGAAAATGGATGACCTAAAGGAAACTTATCAAAATCATTTCCTTCTAGATTACTGGACATAAACGTAATCTTTTTTGTCAGCCAATCCTGGTAATTATTTGTTTTTCTCCATTCTTCCATAAAGCATTCATTGAAACATTCCAGTTCTCGATTATTGTCAACTTCATAGTTTGTTCTTAACATCGAAGTAAAATAACTTTCGAATTGATTACGAATCCACTGATCAGTTCCAATGCCTCCCATTTCTTCACTTGGAGAGTCTATACCTTTCAATATGTGTTCAAAAAATCTCAAATCATGACTTGTTAATTGAAGTGATCGTTTCAGTTCTGCGTCATTGTAATCAATTGTTTGCGTGGGGATATCGATAATAACATCAACTAAATTCTTTTTTTGTTGAAAAAGGACATTACTAGCTCCTGCAATAAATCCATTGTTGAGTTTATCCGCAATTATATCAATATAAGAAAGTGAAATAAATGGCAAACATAAATATCCATTCTTAAATATGTGCATGGGTGCGAAAAAATCTTTTGTGTTTATGCCTGTTAAAACAAAAAGTGTGAGAAATAAATCTTAATATAATTTAATAATTATTCGAAATTTAAATTACATCTAAGATTCATTAAGTGAGGTTTTTGAGAATCGGTTGAATTTGTTATTTCTTCTTCCACATTGATCTTATCATCTTGAAATATCTCCAATTTTTTCTGCTTTTTATCCGGACAATTCCAAAGGCCTTTATTAAGTAAGTGTGGATGTAAAGAAATTATAGAAAGTATTGTAGTACACAATGGGCGAACTGGTGTTCCATAGCATAATACACGTTTTTCAAGAAGAAGAAGTTTAAACAAAACCAAAATTTTATGCTTCCATATACTAATTAGCTCTCTTAAACAAAGTCCAATGTAAAAATCATTTAAGTCAATTGTTTCTAATCTCATTGATAGACATCTATTTAATTCAATGTACGATTCCTTCAAAAGTTCTTCACATTTTAAAAAATCAGCCTGTTCAAATATTTTATCAACATATAAGTTGAGTTTTACTTCAATGTAGCCGAATAATGGAATACTTGTTAAACAACAAACCTAAACAAATAATTTTATATTTAATTCCAGGTAATTTATTTTGAATTTATAATAGTACCGATTTTTGCACCGAGCTTCTTGAAAATTCTGTTCCATCATTCTCTTTGCGATTTATTAATTTGTCAGTCTTGATTTGACGAAAACACGAAACACCTAAAATGAAAAAATACATTCTAATTAAAAAATGGTTCATAATAAAAACTTAAAATTTTTTACCAAAAATTCTTTTCTCTTCATTAGAATTTGGAATTACAAAATAAACTGAATCTGACTCATAATTATGCGATTGATCTGGTAAGCATAAAGAAGGTAATCTTTCAATATCAAAGTCATATTTATTCTCCTTGGGATATTCACTATCTTTAACACAGCCTTTTTTATGGTGAAATCTATAAGAAAAATTATTTTAAATGTACATATTTAAAAATTAGAATGACACCAATCTTACCCAATAAGAAATATTTTTAAAACTATTGGTTCTTCCATAATTAATTCAATTTGAGACTAGCTTTTAAGTTTATTTTGGATTGAAGGATTTTTAATTTAGTAAAACAAATTTGAAATGTAAAATTTTTGGCATATTTTTTATTTGTGTTTTTTTTTCTTTCTTGCACACTGGTCTAATTTAAAAAAAAAGGGGAAATGAGGTGTTTTTGGAAAAGTTTCACCATAAGTCTTCGGAAATGTCTCATTTTTAAGCTGACATTGATACACGATGGTTTCCCAAGTTTCAAGTTTTTTGGTCCATCTGGTGCTGAGTAGCAGGTCCTCAAAGTTGGGTATAGGAGAATTTTCTGTTTTTTGAAATTCTTTATTCAAACTCAATTTGCACGAAAACCACTCAACCAAGTGAAAAATGGTTTTGGTTCCTAAAAGCACATGATAGGACCTATATTTTAGTGTATCATACTATTTGAAAAATATCTACCAAATGGAGTAGTGGCAGATTTAGTATGAAAAAATAGGGGAAAATCACTCTATAAAAGTTCGTGACTGCAGCAAACTACCTAAATTAAGATCTAGCTTAATAGTTTTACATTTTTTAAATAGTCTAAACCTCCATCTTTCTAAATTGGTACCTCATATATACCCAGAGATTGCAACTTTTGGAGTTATATTCAATCAAAATTGGCCAAATATGCAAAATTTTAAAAAAATTATTTCTCAAAAACCATTTAAAAAATCAACTTTTGTTCTAAACAAGCTTAAGCTTGAAGTTTTTGGTTGTTGGGCTATTTCTGATTGATTGTTAAAAAACTTTTTCGAAAAAATTGTATTTTGGGGACCCTATGATGGTTGTTGACTTGACCCTTTTCTTCCATCACTTAAGCTGCTTTAACTTTTTATAGAGCAAATATTTTTAAAATCGATTTTCGACCAAAATCCATTTTTAACTTGGTTGAGTGGTTTTCGTGCAAATTGAGTTTGAATAAAGAATTTCAAAAAACAGAAAATATACCCAACTTTGAGGACCTGCTACTCAGCACCAGATGGACCAAAAAACTTGAAACTTGGCAAACCATTGTGTATCAATGTCAGCTTAAAAATGAGACATTCCCGAAGACTTATGGTGAAACTTTTCCAAAAACACCTCATTTTCCCTTTTTTTTGAAAATAGACCAGTGTGTCTTGTTGAAAATTTAGTATGGTCGGATAAACGAATATTATTTGTCTGTTTGAATATTTCATTGTTAAAATAATACATAAAGACAGAGAAATTTAATAAAAAGCGTGTAAAAACATAAATTCGCTTATTAAAAGGAAATTAAAAAAAGTAGTAAAGACACAAATAAAATAAATAATCAATTTAAATGTTCAAAGTAAAATATTACAGTAAAATGCAATAAAATAAAGATAATAAATAAAACGAAAACTAATGTATCGGGGAGAAACCCAATGTGGATATATTCACACCATACCACCAAAAGTCTTGTGGAAAGATCAAGCTTAGCTCAGTATTAGTTTGAAAGTTCAAAACTTGACGAACCAGCTGAGCTGCGCTACCATAGAGAGCCTCCATCGACTAGTTGTGGCTTCGCTCAGCATAAGTTTGTAAACTAGACTCTTACCTTAGCAGCATAAGTTTGAAGATTTAAAGCTTGACCAATATGCCAAACGGTCTTTAAAGTTTTTTTTAAAATTTTTTCATCTATAGTTTAATAAACTTTGGTTTTTAAAAAAAATTAAAACTATAGATGATGGTTGGTTTGGTTGGCTTTCTTACAGAAAGCGTATTTTGCGATTTTCTCAGCAATGCCGCTTAAGTTTGCTTGTGAAATTTTAGGCACAAATTTTCATCTTTGGATATGTTAAGATATCTTGCTTCATATCCTCACAAAATTCAAAAAATTGATTTTTCAATCTGAACAAAAACAATACATTCACACGTGAATACGGTGTGAATTTAATATTTATTTTTGTTTTAAGACTCTTTCAAAGAATCCGTTAGTAAAAATCACTAAAATTTTCAAGTGTGTCTTGAAAAAAATAGTGTTCTCTCGCAAAATGATGACATTTATTATTTAATATTAAGACAATATGTACACCTCAGATACTTCATTTTGCATTATGTATAAGATATTTATATATATGTTATATATATGTCATATATTATGCTTTAAATTTTTCATGTCATTATTTAAGATACAGTATCTATACAGTATATATCAGTTATATTAATATACTAATAAGTTCTCAAACACTACTTTAGTTTGAAAACTATAACTAACTTCAATATTGTTTACTTTAAAATATATAAAAGGAAACTAATGAGCTCATCAGATTATTGTCCCATCTATTTTATTTGCAAATTATCTTCAAAAGATTTTGAAGATTTGATTTCATAGTTGCTTCAAAAAATCATTAATAACTTATAAAATAACAAAATATAGATGGTTTTTAATCATTTAATTTAAATATCTTGATTTTTGAAGTTTTTCTGTTTTATCACATCAATTCAATTAAAATTTATTTTTTGTCAATTACTATCTCATCGCTTCAATGTTCATTATCAAAGTTGAAATTTTTCACTCATATTTTGCTTAATCCTATAGAACATTGATAAAAACAATTTTTTTTAAATAGATTTTGCATTTATCCTTTATTTTTTCATTCTCAACGTAACATTAATTTTATTTTTTTACATTCAAATGCTTTTTTAATTCAACTTATATTTTAAAAATTTGATTTTTAAAATCGAAAACAAATTTTAGAGATAGGTTTTTAATTTTATGAAAATAATAGATTTTTCTCTTTTACAATCCAAATTATTTTTTTTTAAAATGAAACCAAAATTCAATCTTTAATATACACTAACACTCATTTAGGAGCACAGAACTTTTACATTTGTGCCCTTTTAAGTTACAATAATATTACAAACTTCATGAGAAATGCAAGCTCCATAAGATCATTTAAAACTAGACTCAAAGAATTTATTTACGAATCATTCACTAATGAACAACCGTTGTAATGAGCAACTACCTAATTTTGATGCTTACTCTATAATTATACAAATTAATTTAAGTTTTAAAAAAAAGCAGAAATGCTAATATGTTAAAATGAATTTACTGAATAAAAAAAAAATATTATATGCATCAATTGATAAAGTATATTTGATATCCGATCAAATACCAAATAACTGGTACAAAAATCTACCGGCCGATTTTACAAAGGTGGATAATTCCAATTTTAGGATTATCTATTTCTCCGAAGCGTGGAAAATCCAAATATTTTTTTTCTGATGTAGAATTAATTGGTTGATAATAATCAAACCAGTTTGAGAAAAAACTTTGTGTGAATATATCGAAAAAATAATTTTAGTATATGGATTATCCTAAGATTATCCTAGGATAATCCTGAAGATTATCCGAATTTTCAATCTTGGGGGACCCAGTTTTAACATTTTGGATTGATTATGTGGATAATCTCAAGATAATCTTCGGATAATCCACCTACTAAGATAATCTTTTTTTGTGAAATCCAACGTCAAAAATTGTTCCTCTTTAAATCCATTTTTCTTTACTCACCGTGAAGTTTTACGTAATAAAAAATTTCATGGATTATCCTCAGATTGACATTTCAGATTCCGTACATTTTGTTTCACAAATACTATATTTATATAAATTTCTGTCACAACCAAAATATCTACATGTCCACGTAAAGTGTTACTTAATGAGAATCAACTAGATATCATTAAAACTCTAAACCTCAATTTTAAACTCTGTTAGTTTGAACAAGATTTATATGCTGCAGTTTTGAATCAGAAAGAGTAATGATCAAAATATATATTATTAACAAGTTTTTTGATTATATAAATAATTAAAAATTACAATATTCTTTAGAGAAAATATAAATTTAAATTGATTTTCTACACATCATGTTTAATTACATGCAATATCGTGGTTTTCAAAAAGAAATGTAATGAACAGTTTGCTTTGCAAAAAACGTGAATAGATTTGTAAGAAAAATTATTGATAGAATTATTAAAATATTAATAAAAATACGAATTATTTTCAAAAACATTATTTTGTTTAGAAGTTTTATTTGATTGACATTGCATGTCTGCAAAAAGAATAATCTCCTCTAATATTTTTCTAATAATCTTTATTATTATTAATTTAACTTTTACTTTATTAAATAGAAAAGATAAGCTTAAATATCTTTCCTTAAAAAGAAAAGATAAGCGCCGTAATTTATTATATTTTCCATGTCTATTAAATATGTCATGATAGTTTTCAGCATCATTAATTTAAAAAAAATATTCTTGAATGGATTTGGAGACGAATGCTTTTTCAATAGTGAGCAAATGATTTAATAACTGTTGACGCGAGTAAAAAAATATTCAATGTGATATTTCGCTATAAAAGATCATGTACTGTAAACAGGCAACAAACGAAGATGCGCACTCATCGTAAGCTTATAAAATGCTTCAACATAGAGATTAATTTGCACGCGATTATTTTCGGCATTCGAACTTTTAACTATTATACTAAAAAGGTAGGTGAGTGTGCTGGTGCTGACAATATGCTCCATGATGTGACGATGCAAATTTTGATTGTATATGTACACATGATGCTAAAACATCTTCATCATCTCACTAGTTTCATGTGTTGTTTTTTAGGGATTAAAATAATATTCATTTAGATATTCTCATTTACTCATAAACAAAATAGTGGTAGGAAAATCATATAAAAAGCAACGATTTTGTCTAATTTCTATCATTTTAGAATTTTACTCTTGTGAAGTTAAAACGAGGATTTTTTTTTTAATTTCAACTGTTCAAAACTGTTCAAAATGAAATTCGTGGTAAATAAATATTTGGCAATCAAATCAAGCCATAAAACGAATTAAAATTTTTATAGTTTAGACAAACCTTTAACCTTTTTTACCATGTTTTTTTTTTTTATCTTATAGATTGTTTTTGCATTATTTGTTGCTTGCGCATTTGCAGCTCCTCAACAACCTGTCGAAACACTTAAATTTGTTAATGACATCCAGGAAGGAGGTTATAATTTTTTGTAAGCGCTAAATACTGTAAAGTAATAAAATATATAAATATATATGATTGTATTTTTAATTAAAGGTATGAAACATCAGATGGACAAAAGCGTGATGAAACTGGTCAGTTGAAGGATGCTCCACCAACACCTGAAAATCCAAACAACAAAGTTATTGATATTTTTGGATCTTATGAATTTACATCACCCGAAGGTACATAAAATCATTAAAAACGTAATATCATATAACCAGAAAATTAATATTTCAAAATACAACTACAGGTCGTACTTATAGAGTAGAATATACCTCAGGAGTTAACGGATTCTTACCAAAGGTTTCAATTGTTAATTAAGTTGCTAAAATATCAATTTGAATCTGAAGATGAATTGAAATAAAATCAAACTTAAATAAAAATAAATACTCAATCAAATCTTCTCTTATTTTTTCGATTTTTTATTTCATGTTATAGTAGCTTTGTTGTATTCAAAACATATTTGAGAAACTTTATGAAAACTAAGTTTTAACTGATCTTGTTTTTGCAATATTAATGTTTTTTTTTAATATTAAAGAAATCTTATTTCTCTGCATGCTTCAACCACAATTTTTTTTTAATTTATACTATACTATTTAGCATCAAATTACAGCTGTTCTAAAATTACAGCTGTAGATTACAGATGAACTTACGTCGTTACGTAAAAATTAAATTAGAGCTGTAATTTACGGCTGTAGTTAAATGTGTATAAATAACATACAGCTGTAAATACAGATGGTGTTTATAACTTTGACAAGTGCTTAGCTGTACTTACAGTTGATGTAATTTTTCGTAAATTCTGCTGGGTACTTTCATTGTTTAGGATTTTGTTTCCCCTTTTTATTCTTGTATTACTTATATTTTAAATGTTAACACCCAGAACGAAAAATGTGATTTTTATAAACTTTTGCACGCTCCTGTTCCTCGTTTTCTATTCAATCTTTTTGTAAAAGGATATATAGGTATTTACAGCTATATTTTATTTATGCACATTAAACTACAGCTGTAAATTACAGCTCTAATTTAATTTTTACGTAACGACGTAAGTTCATCTGTAATCTACAGCTGTAATTTTTGTATAGCTGTAATGTGATGATAAATAGTATAGGGTGCTTAAATCAATATTATTTTAATTATTTTGATTGCAAAGATTATATCGGCATTTTACATTTTATTAGAGAAACACTTGTTGATAATCAAAAGGATAATTAATAATAATTTACAAAGGAATCGTATTGATCCACAAATATCTAAAGCAACTATAATTATTGCATATAAATGTTTTGGAAAGGAATCAAAAAATGGCAATCATACCCAAAAAGTTTACCTAAAAGTATCCCCGATTCAATAATGTCAAAGGGTTAAAAAATAACAAGTAATAAAACTTAAGTATCATCAATACAAAATTTCATAGCTTAAAAAGTGTAAAAAAATATCTAAAATGTTGCTCATCTTTATTATTGGTCAGTGTATAGAGTGTGTCAAATCAACTTACTTAAGTCAAGGTTGTGTCGATGGTCAATGTCGATTATTTACTAGTATTCTTTGAAACTGGTTTTTGGGCGTTTAATACCATTAGGCATTTATTTTAATAGAGAATTGTTTGCATTTTTTTATTATTAGAAGATTTGCAGAAAAAAAATGTATTTATGTTTTTGTTCATAATGACGAAATAAAATATTTTAAGTGATTTCACTAATTTTAATAAAACTTCATTTATTTTTCAGATAAACATCGTAACTACTAAATTGTAAATTCATTTTCAACTCTTAAGTTTTGTTTTCATATAATCATTTTTAATTGATTCTCGCTCTTCAATAGGTGGAACTTCCGGAATTATACCAAGTCTTCTTCTGTCAAACTTTACTTTCGTCTATAAAATTAAATATTAGATTTTTTTTATTAATGTTTGCCATAGGTAAGTGATTACAAAATCTCAAATCCTTAAATTTTTTTATGATTGTAAAAGAATTTTTAAAAAATAGGTAAGCCAAAAAAAAACTTTTTATCAAATTATGGTTGTACCGTAGGGTGACCATCTAATTTTTATGAAAATACAGGACATTTGATAAGTTTCTTAAAAAATACAGGACACAAAGGAAAATTTGAAAGTTAACGTGAAAAAAATACAGGACCTGGAACAAAATTTTCAAATTTATCTAGGACAGGGTTTTGAAATACAGGACTGTACGTTGTAAAACTACGCAGATGTAAGCTTTCTCGATTTCTCGGTCTCGACAAATTCTCGAGACCGAGACCGAGACCGAGACTTCCCGGGAATTCCCGGGAAGTCTCGACTTTAAAAACTACTTAAAATTTCGCTGAAAGTAATTAAAAAAGACTTAGAACATGTAGATTACGTCTATTTGTTATTGAACTTCTGGATATATTCCTTGTTATGCGATCAGTCAAACTAATTTTATTGTCTTAATACTATTATAAAATATAAAAGAAATACGAAATACGTAATGATAAAAGAAAAGCATAATGATAAGAAAGTGTGTCCCTATTAAACTTCATAAAACTTATAAATACACATTTAAATCCTCAAAAAAAATTAGGTTTTTTTTTGTGAAAATTTCAATAAGTTCGATAACGGTAAATTTAATTTCAAACTATGAAAAATTATAGGAGTTTTTATTTTAAATTCAGGTTTTACGTTGAAATATTAATACATTTCACTATGGGGCAAAATTGAAAAAAAGGGACTTTCACTTCGAAAAAGGCAATGTTTCGAATTAAGTTCTCAAGTGGATTTTTTCTTGTAGAGGACATAAAAATAGACTTCTATACCAAATTTCATGTCATTTGGTGCAATTTTTGCGAATCTGTGGCTGTTTGAAGTTGAAAAAGGGTGAAAAATCTGGTTTTTTCATGTCACGTTAGAACTGGTAAATCTCCATAATGGTTAAAGATATTGAAAAAAGGTTTTCAGTTCCTAAAAGTGTTATATAAGAACTTTTTTTTAAATGTATATCAAAGTTTACAAATTTGATGTTTTGGTACCGGTGTAGTTGAAAGCGTATAAAAATCCTAGGAAAAATATCTTTGTGCAGGCACAACTTTTTTCTGTCAACAGCTATACCAGTCAAAAACTACACCATTAAATAGCCACTGATTTCTAGTTTTCATAACTGTATAAATATCAAAAAAATGTTTGCACCGTTTTGAGAAAAGTTGATTTGAGTAAATCGACAAATATTTTGCCAAAAACGAAAATTTCTTATAAATAAAACAAAACAATAACTACAAATAAGTTTTTTGGTATTTTTCGATGACTACTATTAGAGCAAATTGTTAGAAAAAGGTTTAATATATTAAAGGAAATAATAATAAAATAAATTTTGCCAAAATAAGTGTGGAAATTCAAATATTTGTAAATTTACCTGTGCTGGTTGCGCTTTTGTAGGCTTTTTGATGGACATAAAGAGCTCTAACATTTTTCAGGATACATATTTTTGCATTCTGTTTTCGGTTATTGCTAGTTTAGATCAATACCTTTAAAATGATGTATAATACTTGTATGAAAGTTCATTATAGCTGCTTCTGGAGTAAATTGAATGTGACCGACGCAAGCTAAACTTCAACAAAATAACGAAAATAACCAAAATTTATCAAACAAAAATATTTTAAACTGACTTATTTCGTTAAAAACATGTATAAATATGAAATATTAACTGATAAGCATCCAAGAAATAGTGTAATACTTGGGAATTTTTGACCCAATAAAGACTACTAGGATCGTACTTAAACAAGCTACCTGAGATAGCCAAAAGTTTATAAAACACAATTTTTTGAGTGTTTTTAGTCATAATTATCATAAATCATCATAAAAAACCAAAACTCAATACTTAATTTTGTTTCTAAGTGGTATTTCTAGAAATGACGTTTTTGAGATTTTTTCTAGTTTAGGGTCGCTCACAAACAAGCCTCATTTTCATGACCAAGATCAAAGTCAACTATCAAGTATTATACATCATTAGAAAGGTACTGATTTAAGCTACATTAAATTGAAAACAAAATTCAAAAATATTTAATTTTCTAAGAGTACTAGTGGTTTGAGTGATGAAAAAAACACACAAGTCGTCAGATATCAAAAGTCCCCTATATAACGACAAATTTTAAACTTTTTGAAAAAATTTCTTCACAGGTTGTCTTTAAATATTGTTTGTCATTGAAAAATACCAAAAAACTTATTTGTAGTTATTGTTTTGTTTTATTTATAAGAAATTTTCGTTTTTGGCAAAATATTTGTCGATTTACTCAAATCAACTTTTCTCAAAACGGTGCAAACATTTTTTTGATATTTATACAGTTATGAAAACTAGAAATCAGTGGCTATTTAATGGTGTAGTTTTTGACTGGTATAGCTGTTGACAGAAAAAAGTTGTGCCTGCACAAAGATATTTTTCCTAGGATTTTTATACGCTTTCAACTACACCGGTACCAAAACATCAAATTTGTAAACTTTGATATACATTTAAAAAAAGTTCTTATATAACACTTTTAGGAACTGAAAACCTTTTTTCAATATCTTTAACCATTATGGAGATTTACCAGTTCTAACGTGACATGAAAAAACCAGATTTTTCACCCTTTTTCAACTTCAAACAGCCACAGATTCGCAAAAATTGCACCAAATGACATGAAATTTGGTATAGAAGTCTATTTTTATATCCTCTACAAGAAAAAATCCACTTGAGAACTTAATTCGAAACATTGCCTTTTTCGAAGTGAAAGTCCCTTTTTTTCAGAGTTGCGAAACAGGTCACCTGTGACAGGTGAGAACCTTTCAATTCCTTGATAATTTGTATGGTTTTGTTAGAAAAACCTTATAAATTATCAAGGAATTGTAGGGTTCTCACCTGTCACAGGTGCCTGTTTCGCAGCTCTGCTTTTTTTTCAATTTTGCCCCATAGTGCATTTTAAAAACTGCTTAAAACTTTTACTAATAATTAATTTATTATTGATATTTATTCACAAAAATTGGATAGGGTAAATGACTTTGAAATTTGCGCAACCTTGAAATTTGCGCACTCGTATGAAAACGAAAATTTTAAAATTATATGTAAAAATGTCACTTCTGTTCAGACGATCAATGGGAAATGTTTGTAGAACACCAGCGCAGATGTTTTTGCATCATTTTTAGTGATATTAAACCATTAGGAAGCTCAATAATTTGCACCCGAAAAATCCCATACAAAAAGAGAAAAAATCCCGTACCTCCGAAGAGATTGAAGCAAATGAAAATTTCATGTGTGAAAATGCGCAAATTTCAAGGTCATTTACCCTAACTGTAAGATTAACTACAAACTGTGATGGGAAAAATTCTAAAATTATGATTTTTACTTAAATTTTTTTCTTCTCTAGTCTCGGGTCTCGGTCTCGGAAAATTCTCGAGACCGAGACGAGATTCTTCCCGGGAAGTCTCGGTCTCGATTTCGTCATCGGGAAAGCATACGCAGATGGTCACCCTAGTTGTACGTTATTAATACATATTAAAGTACTTTTTGGATAAAACCGTTATTGAATTTTAACAATTTTGTTATTGAACATTTAAAAAAAATGATTATAGCTTCTGATCCATTTGTATTTGAATAAATAAAAGTATGTTCTGGTATATTAATTAAAATTGATATCTTTTTAAAAAATTAAAATATTAATGTTAAGTTAATAAGATTTCAGACTCACCCAGAACTTCATGCATTCGGTATAATTTGCAAAATAAATTTCACATTTTTGTTTATCATAATTATTTTCAGAAAGGCACTTGTAGCTGATATTTTGCTCCTTTTATAAAAAGTTTAATAAAATTGTGGTTTAAAATAATGTTTTGAAGTACTCACATTAAAGCATGGGTTATCAGGTGCTCTTGGATCCTGTTTTCCTTTTGGCGGCATTTTTAATAAATCTTTTTTTATTTATTATATTTGCGAAAGTAAACAAATACCTATCAGGTGTTTTATTCTGCAATAATGTGTTATTCTTTTTTTCTATAAATCTAGTACAAATTTAAAATATATTTTTCCAGTTCTACTTTTAATTTTTTTTTTATTAATTTTAATAATTTGAAATTAATTTAATTTTGTTTATTCATCATTTTTTAAAACCACGTTATCTTTTATTCCTTAATTTGTTGCATTTTGTAAAGTTTGGCATACTTTTGGTTGATTTTCATTAACTCATTATGAGTTCCTTTTTCAGCTACCTCACCATCCTCAAGAACATAAATTATGTCAGAATTTTGTATGGTTGTTAGTCTATGTGCTATTGTAATACAAGTTCGACCAGCTGATGCTTTCTCCAAAGCTGCTTGAACAATTTTTTCACTTTGCGTATCTAATGCTGAAGTAGCTGTGAAATTAATCATGTGATATTTTTTTATTAAAATATTTAAAAAAATTATATCTAAGAATAGCTCAAACCTTCATCTAAAAGTAATATTTCTGGATTTCTTACTAAAGCCCTAGCAATTGCCTGTTTTAATTGATTTCAAAAATAAATTTAAAATTAAACTGATCAATAATTTTTAATTAGTAATTCATACAATTCTTTGCTTTTGTCCTCCAGAAAGTTGAGTACCTGTTGAATCAAATTGTTATTTAAATTTAAACATAAAGACAAATTTTATTACAGTGCAATGTGTAGCATACCTTTCGTTCCTAAACTCGTTTCATATCCTTTCGGTAGTTTTGATATAAAATCATGAATATTGGCAGACTTTGCAGCTTCAATAATATCAGTCATAATTATTGCTCTCTCATTATCGCCATAAGCAATATTTTCAGCTATAGTTCTATCAAACAAAACTGGTTCTTGAGAAACAAGTCCTAATTTTGCTCGTATTTTTGAAAGTGGATAATTTGTTGTGTCCAAGTCTTCAACTTCTACTTTTCCATTATCTGCGTCATAATAGCGTAGCAGTAATTGAATGCATGTAGATTTACCACAACCAGAAGATCCGACAAGTGCAACCGTTTGTCCTTTTTTTATGTCAAGATTAAGACTTTCCAAAACTGAAATATTCGGTCGTGTTGGATATCGAAAGTCGACTTTTTTAAAGGAAATAAAATTTTGACTTTTCTAAAATAAATTAAACAATCTATTTACAAATTAAACAAAATAAAAATCAAATTAAAAATCTTACTGTAGACGATTTTTTTGGTAGTGTAGACAGGTTTTTTACTTTTGGAACACGTTCTAGCAAAGTTTTAATACGTGATGCAGAGATTATAGCTTCATTTACATTTGGCATATACGATAGGGCCTGTCCAATCATCCATGAGCCGAAAATCAATGCTTCCCCAACTCTTTTGAATCAGAAATGTATAAAGGATTTGTTTATATTTTAATATAATTACCACAATTAAAAAATAAATGAAATTAATTTTTTAATTTAAAATTTGAAAATGAATGATCTTACTTAATTACATTTTGATAGGACATTTCATTTTTTGCAACCAATGTTCCTCCATACCAAAGGGAAAGTCCATAGCCCATCAATGGAACAGTTTGTCCTAATCCAAAAACAAATCCACGAAACCGAGCTTTTTGTTGACAAAAATCATGAAGATTGTCTACTTCTTTGTAATATCGATTCAATATATGAGGCTCCTGTCCTAAACTAGCAATGGTTCGAATGTTTGAGATTGCTTCAACTGCCATATTCGTAGCTTCTTCTATAGCTGATTTTTCTTTTTCATTATTTTTTTGTACAAATCGTGCTTCCATCACTATTCCCAGAAGAACAACTGGAATTGTAACAAGAGCAACGAGAGTCATTTTATAGTTGTAATAAAATGAAACTCCTATGCCAATTATAATAACAGATCCAGCCTGCTCAAAAAAAGAAAGAATAACAATGTTAATTTTATTGTCCACATTTCAACCAAATAGTTTTAAACAAACCTGAACTATTGAGCCTATACGGCTTCCAGTAGCACCTTGTTTTAATTAAAGAAATACAAAAAAAAATTATATTCTATATAAAATACTTGGTAAAAAAATTAATACCTTGTACTCCAGAACAATCATTAGCCAAACGTGCACAAAGGGCACCAACTCCGTTTTTTGGCAAATCAAACCATCCTATTTCCTGGCACATCATGGATTTAAAAGTCAATATTCTTAATCTAGATGTTAATCGGACTCCTGCATAATTGAACATAAATGTTTGCATAAAGGTACCGATTCCAGTTGCAACACCCAAAACAAGAAACAAAATAGAATAAAAATTGGCTTGTTTTTGAATATCTTCTGGATCATCATCACTTAAAATTCCATACATTTCACCGAAAAGAATAGCAAATATTGGAAAGCTAGCTCCCACAACAAATGAAGAAACTACTCCTGTTAAAATAAAAGGCCACTCCTTCAAATTTAATTTCATTAAATATGAAAAAGAAATTTTATGTCTATCCACATCTGAAGAATCAGTTTCTTCCAATGGTGTTTCGGTCTCCAATTCATCTTCAGTTTCTGAATCATCAAATTTTTTGCTGTTGGTTGACTCACTTCTCTTGGCGGCTCGAGAATGTTTTTTTAAGTTCGAAATCTTTGAAGTTTCACCATTTATTATGTTTGAGTTATTCGCATTCACAAGCTCGTAGTAACTACCTTTCATTTTTAATAACTCTTGATGTGAACCTTGTTCTACTACTTTTCCTTTGTTGATGAAAACAATTTTATCGGCATTTTGAATTGTTGAGAGACGATGAGTTACAACCACAGTAGTGCGACCTTTGCTAGCTTTTTCTAAAGCATCTTGAACTTTTTTCTCCGATGTTGGATCTAAAGCAGAAGTAGCTAAATTTAAAAACAAAATTAATTTTTAATTTAAATATAACAAAGAGTAAAACAATAGATATTTGCAACTACCTTCATCTAGTAAAAGAATTTTCGGGTTTCTTACTAATGCGCGTGCTATAGCCTGGAAATGTTGTTAATTAAAATTAAAAATGTAAAAGTAATAATTTACAAATGATTGAAAACATACAATTCTTTGACGCTGCCCTCCAGATAATTGTCCACCTATAGTTTAAACATAATATAAAGCATGTAAAAATTAAGGGGAAAATAATAATTATTATTACCCCTCTCGCCAATTTGAGTCATATAGCCGAACGGAAGTTTTGAAATAAATTTATGGCAATTTGCAATTCTTGCTGCCTTTTCAATTTCTTCATTACTAACACTAGGATTACCATAACGAATATTTTCAGCTATCGTTGTTGCAAACAATACTGGCTCTTGTCCAACTACTCCAATAAATGATCGGAGTGTTCTAGTGTTTATTTCTGTCATTTTCATGCCATCAATATAAATCATTCCCTTTTGAGGATTATATAGATGTTGAATTAATTGAAGGCACGTAGATTTACCGCAACCAGAAGATCCCACAAGAGCAACTGTCTTTCCAGCTTCTATATCCAAATTTAAATCATTCAAGACCTGAACATCTTTTCTTGCTGGATATTTAAAAGTTATGTTTTCAAATTTTATATTTCCTGCTATGGTTTTTGGTTTAATGCCGTCATCATCCATAGAGTCTATTTCTGGATTTCGATCTATGACTTCAAAAATAGAAGATGCTGAACCTTTTGCTGTAGAAAAAGCTTCGATATAGGGAGCCGTAAACCCCAAATTTTGAGCTCCACATAACACGCCGAACAAAACAATGATCAAAATAGCCGGTGTATAATCTTTATCAATTTTATCGCGGTCTTCCAAAATTAAGCTTATTCCGTACCAAAAAGCAAGTGCATAGCAGCAGTAAATAATTAGCCACATTATGCCTCCACCGAAACCAGAATAAATGCCTTTTTTCTTTCCATTCATTTCAGCTGGTTTTAATTTTTCTTCAAAGCGTTTAAGTTCTTTGTTTTCACCACCAAAAGCTACGACCGTTCTTATTGAGCTAAGAACTTCTTCAGCAACAGTACCAGCTTTTGAATAAGCTTTTAATTCTCTTTCCGTCAAAGTGCTTTGCATTCGCGCTACTATTGCTGTTGATATAATAATAATAGGTGCGCAACTCAGAATCACTAATGTTAATTTCCAGCCATAAATGAAAGAAAATATCACTGATATAACAAAAGACATTAAAAGATAAATGAAAATTGATAGCTTTTCGCCTATTCCTTCTTTCAACTTGTCTAGATCTCTAATAAATACAAATAAAATAATATTTGATATGAAAAAATAAAGAATAAATTAAAACTGACACTTACTCTGTCATTCTAACTGCGAAGTTGTGTGATGTGTTTAAATCATACCATGTCATATCTTGACGTAAAACTGATTTCAAAAATAATTTTCTAATTTTTAAAATTTGATTTTGTGCAACATAGTTTAAAATGTTAATACTAATTGCAGCAAATATTAATTGCATTAAGGATCCGACAGCACATCCAATTCCAAAGGCAGCTGAATCTTTCATAGTTGCATCATAAATCTCAATTTCTGAAGCATTCGTAAGTATCTTTCCTCCACCAAAAATGCTCAGTATATTGGTTTTTGTTGATGTTCCTCTTGCAATTTTACGATCAACAAGTATAGTTGTAAATTCTCCGTATAATATCATGCCATATGGAAGACCCAATGATGCGATAGAAGCACAAAGAACTCCAATAAAAACTAAAAGAACCTCGAATTTTGTTGCAAATCGAAAAAGTTTCCAATATGATAGTTGCTTTTTTTTACTGTTTTGTTCTTTTGGTGATTTTTTTATAAATTTTCTAAAATTTAAAGCATTCCGGTTCTAAAACTTTATAGAAATATATTGAAAAAAAATAAAAAATAAATTACGTTTGTAAAAACACAGAATTTTTTTCGTTGTTAGGTGATATTTCTGTATTGCTCTGAAATTCCATCACATTGTTTTTAAATTTTAAATCTTTCTTTTCATCATCCTGAAATCCAAAGTTGATCTCTCCCTCAGAATCAATTTTACGATACGTCTCAACTAACAAGCTCATGATTTTATACTAAAAGTAAGAGTATAAATATTTAATTAGGGAATTGAGAGAAAAAAAATTTATCTTAATTAAGATTTTATTATCAATTTCAAAACCCTCTCATTCATTTGTATGCTGTTTATTAAAGATTTGCATCGAAACCAGTAAGTTCTCTTCACTTGTATGTGGCCTTCTGAATCAATTCTCATATTCCCATTAAACACGCTTTAATCATTGTTTTAAAAAATTCATCAATGACTTCTTTAATTTTATGCTCTTCATATTTTTATATTATTTAAAAATAAATATTCAATAATTTTCCATAAAGAGCAAATGAAAGATTAATTCTTTCAAACGATAAATTTGGGGCAGTTAAAATTTTTTTGGATGCATAATTGATTTTTTATGGTTTACTGTGTTAGGAAAAAATAAAGTTATATTTTTCCAATGGCTAAGACGTTTTTTTCTCACGTTTTAAAATGTTTTCGAGAGCTTTTTAATTTTAAATATTTTAAAAATAAAAAACTAATGTATAAATTATTTGAAACGTTGCAAACTATGCGATTTTAATAAGTTGCGTTCAAAATATATTTAAAAAAATTGTTAATTTTGGGAAATTCCATGGATGAGTTGAACTCATGAAAAATGAGTTACACTTCTTCTCGAGCTTGAAATTTTAAACTTTTGAATAATATAATTTAACTAAACCAATGCTTTATAAAAACCAGCTTATCATCTTCTTTTACTGTTATATTTTCATAAACAACGTTGTAATCAAAGAATATATTCTTAATTAAAGTAAATTTTGATATATGTTAAATAATTTCTTTTTACGGATTAACATAATAAGCATAAAAACATAATTAAGGTATATTGAGGTATATTGATTGCATTAAAATTATTCGTTTTTTTTTGTCTATTGAGTGTTTTTCAAGGCAATTTAAGTATGCAGAATCATAGAACAGGATAGAATGAAAGGCATAACAACCATTAATAGTTGTCTAGGTGTCTTTAAAGTGGTAAATTTTTGCTTTCAAAATCAGAATTCAACATTGTGTAACATACCAACGCTGACAAAAATCCACATATTTCATTGATTAAGGCATGACAAGATGCATGAGTTAGACAGAATGAAAGAGCTCTGCGTTTTACATAACTTTCAAAAATTAGAAAATTCAATTTAAAGACGACATTTTTGAAAATATCAATCTGTGGAATTGCCCATTTTGTATTGTTAGATAGTCTCTAATATTTTAAAGTAAATATCGATATTTTTCCGAAGTTAAAATCATATAAAATACATAAAGTGGTTTTTAATCAGTTCTGTGTTAAAATAATTGAAGCAAAATTTTAATTAGAGCACCAAAAAACTTAAATGAAAAAAGTCATGAATAATTGCATGTATGAATAATGATTAAACCGTGGGATTTTGTAGATTGCATAATCTTCATTTTAACAGTTATTATTTTTAATGAAATTCTGCCGTATAAATGCATTTTTTCGGTTATCGATGCTTTGCGGTTTTAGATATTATTCTAATATTAGATCAAATGCGATTACTTAACAAATTCTTTATTCGAATATCATATATCTTAATTATAATCAACGTAAATAATTGGAATTTGTTCAAAACTTTAAAATTATTTTTTTAAATTTATTCATTGAGTTTTCTCATAATATTAATGTTCAAAAATATCTGAGAGTTGAAAGATTAATATTGACATTTATTTATTTATTTGTTGTGATAAATTTAATAAATCAATTAATGAGAAATTAATTAATAAATTAGATATAATTTGGCATATTATAATGATTCAGAAATATCATGTAACTTCCGCTTGTTTTTTAATTTAAAAATTCATTTTCCATATAAAAAAGCGTTGGATTTCAGATTCTTTTAAGCGAATCCTTAAAAATTATTCCAATTCATAAAAGTAAATGAATTAAATTTTTTATCACAATAAAAATTTCTATAGTTTAGCAATTAATTTAACTTTGTTCTAAACATGTTCTGTAAAATCAGATAAGTCATAAGATAAAAAAAATATTTTTATGGCATTTTTTTGAAATAATTTACTTCAATTTGAACTAATTTTGTTCAGAGTTTCACTTTATATCCAATACCTTCTAATTTTTTTTCTTAAATTCACTGATATCTCCAACAATTTTCCTTTTTTTTATTCTATCATTTTAGATTCACAAGAAAAACTGCTCTGAAATGATTCTGAATAAGATAGTATTTAGTCTAAATAAAAAGATGAACTAAAGTGATTTATTAAAACTCAATATATTTATAGGAATTCACCCTACTCAGGAAGTTTTTTTTATCTCTACTCACATAAAAAAGTTCTCACTTCAAACAATTACTCTCAGCACATTTACAAAAAGAAAATTAAGAAGCAAAAATCTACTATAGAAAAACAATCAGTCTTCAATGATGTTGATATTTTATTCCGTTTAAAATACATTTTTCTTTGATAATAAGTTTTATAATTAATAGAGGCTTAAAATTTGTTCCAAAAACTAATTTTACTAATAATCCTTTCGTCAATTTATTGAAATTTCACAACACATTTTTAAATTTTTAAAAAAATTTGGAGCTAATATAATGCACAAATGAAACTTAAATAGTAAGAATTTCCAAGTTTGGCTCATCTTTTTTCAAAATAAAAGCCATTTTAGATAAAATTCACCTGGCACCACAAAATTAAAAAAAAATTGTGTTATATTTAGCTTTAATGAACCCTTAAAATCAGTAAAAAAATATTGTTTGTGTTCAAAATCGATTCAGGAATAAGTGAAAATTACAAGGTATCCTGAAATTCAAGCTTGTGTTTAATTAGATACTGTGGCAATAATTATAATTTGCTGCGCAAATAATTAAATTTGAGATAAATGATCGATTTTTGAACAAGTGCTACAATTTTGCAATTCAACAGTAATTTTTTTTGAAAATTTTCTGAAATTCGTTTTTTGTGCTTTTTTGTAAACATTCATGCATCCGCTTTTGAGATATTGGCGTTTGAAAATTTCATCTGAATCAATAAATTTTAAATTAGATTAACTTCATAAAATTAAAAAGAAATTAAAAGTTTTCGTGAAAACATAATTTATAATAAAAAGAAAATATTAAAACGCAAATTTCAAATATAAAACGTTTATTATAAAAAAAGAACTGTAATATTTATTGATTTCAAAAATTTATAACATGCGTCATATTAGGAAAATATCAATAATATTTTATGGATGTTTATAAAACAAAGTATTTATTTATAAAAAGAAACCGTTAATGCTGATACTGTAATCAGAATAAAAGAAATATGTAAATTTGAAGCTGTTAATGTTGTCGTATCCATTGGTGAAGAACTCGTGTTTTCCTCGTCTTTAATAATTGTTATTCGCCATTCGACCGCCGGATAAATCGGAGACTTTTTTCTCAAATACTGTAGGAAAATATTAATATCTGTTTCATTTAAATTTTGAATTTCACTGTTTGAAATGGAATCATGGTATTTATCTACAATTAAATCATTTTGGGTTAGAATTTTATATTCTGCAGTTTCATTAACTTGCTTTAGCTCGGGAATATCACACAAACTACAAATCACTTTTAGATCAGTTATTCTGTTTCCTGAAGGTTCATTCATATTAAAAACAACATGAATTCCAGAAACTTGAAGAAAGTCATTGTATTCTGAATCACCATAATTTGAAACAGAATATTCTAGAAGACTAATTAAATCTTTTCCTTTTATCGTTAAAACCTGCAAGTTATTTGGTGGATTGAAAACTTTTTCAACATCGCTCCTCGTTATGTTACCAATATTAATCGAATGCTGAATCTTACTACCCTGAAAAATGGCTATGGGAGCATCAGTCCACCCATTTCCATTATAATTCATTGCATACCAATCAACCATTAAATCAGCAATGAAATTTCCAAAATTGCATTCTTGTGAAATGCAATCATCACTTAAATGTACTCGTGTGTTACCAACAGTATTTTGATTAGGATCTAAATTATTAAAAGAAAGCCTCCATTCAACAGAAGGATAAATTGGAGATTTTCTTTTTATGTAGTTTATAATTGCGTCAACTTCAGTGTTGTTGAAAATTTCAACTATTAAATTTTTAACCATTGTATATCCTAAGCTTCCTGTTGCGATGTTATTAGGTAATAGTACATTATAAATGTTATCTAATTTTATGTCTTCCAATTGAGGTACTGTACATGATGAACATAATACTTTTACTGATGTCACTCGTTTACCTATTAACTTACTCAAGTCATATACTATTTGCAATCCTGATACTTGTAAGAATTCTGGTGGTTGAACGCCTTGTGCATATCTATGTATATTATATTCCAGAATTTCTAATAATATCCTGCCAGTTAATTTTGCAAGGGCAATCTTATTGTTTTGTGGTAATATATCCATGGCATCTTTTCTTGTAATTATTCCATTGTTCACTTTGTTGTCAATCGAGTGTTTAATATTATTGGCTGGAATTAACGCAACAGAGGCATCAGTCCACCCACTTGTTGCATTATGATGTGTTGAATACCAATCAACTAAAGCATCTGTGACAAAATTTCCTAAATTACATTCTGATCTGTAACAATTACTGTCTAAATAAACCCTTGTATATCCGAGTATATCATCTGAAGAATCGACATATTCAGTTATTAAAATTCTCCATTCAATCGATGGATAAATTGGTGACTTTTTTCTTATAAAATCTTTTAAAACTTCAATATCTAAAGTTTCTGATTCTTGAACTTGAGAATCTTTAAACATCGTATATCCATCTCCACCATTGGCAAGAAAATCTTGCAATATAATGCGATAATTGGTTTTTAAATCAATATTTTCCAACTTTGGAACTTCACAGTAAGCACATATTATTTTTACATTTGCAACTCTTTGTCCAGTTGGTAAATTCATATCGTACTCAACATACATTCCAGAAAATTGTAAAAATTCACCATGTTCTTCTCCATCAGTGTACCGATGCACAGAATGTTCGAGTGCTAACAATAAATTTTCTCCAGACACTTCTATAACTACAACTTTACTCTCAAATGGAAGAACAGTTGCCAAATCTTCCATTGAAATGCCTATGCTATTTTTTTCAATTGATGCACGAATACCACCGCCTGCATATTTTAACTCATGAATTTTTTTTTTAAATTATCTTAACAATTTTACCTTGAATAATACCAATTGCAGCATCCGTCCACCCTTCACCATTGTATTTAAGTGCATTCCAATGAACCATAGAATCTGCTATAAGGTTTCCTAAGTTACATTCTCGACGACGACATGATCCATCTAAATGAACTTTTGTTTTTCCAGCTATTTCATTCTGTAGTTCTAAAACAGCAGGGCGATAAATTTCCAACAATTCAAGCACATCTTTTTCACGTTCAATGTTTCCATCTAATATGATAGGTTCTCCGTCTATTTCAAGTAAATTTCCATTAGTGTCGAACTCCAAATGCAATTTTCCTAAATATTTTGTATAAGCAAAACTTTGAACAACAGGAACTTTCTTTCCATTAGATTGAATCATAATTACAGGATACACATCATATGGTTTATCACTATCGGGAGGATTACCAGTATACAAAAATGTATGTGCTGTGAAATTCAATATGTTTGAATGAAAATTATTCTTAACAAAGAAAAAAAAAAGACTTACAGTGACCACCAATGACTAAATCAACTTCTGGGCATGCTTGTGCAATTTGTTTATCGCGCTCAATTCCACTATGACCTAAAGCAATTATAATTTTTACTCCTTCTCTTGTCAGTTCAGCGGCTTCGTTACTATTAATGATTCAAATAAAAACTTAAATTTTTAAAATAAAATTATATTTTTTTACTTTATGGCTTCAATTTCATCAATAAATTCGACATTATTTGGACTTGCAACTTCTTTGGTTTCTGGTGTTAAATAGCCAATGATTCCAACTTTTGTATCTTTAATTGTGAAAACGTACGAAGGCTTAATGTGTTCGTTTTTCAATTGTGGTTCTTTGTCCAAAATTAAGTTTGCAGCTAATACGGGAAAGCTTATTTCATTTAAAAATTTTGCTAGATTTTCAGTTCCCTCATCAAACTCATGATTTCCCAGTGACTTTAAAATAAATAAATAATTATAACAATTAATACATTTTTGTTTTTAATCATTTCATATTTACAATTGCATCCGGTTCTAAAAGGTCTAGGAAAGCAGCAGTTATATTATCTTTGAAAATTGAAAACCATGGAGTCCCAGTATATCTGTAAAAGCTGGTTAATAAAAAATATTATATGACAAAATTCACTCTTACGTATCGCCTGCGTTCAAATATAAAACCGGTGGAATTTCTCCATTTTGTGCTTTTGTGCGGAATTTTCTAACTAGATGTGCGACTCTCGCGAATCCTCCATAACATTTATTGTTTTTTTGGTCATCTTCCTTGCATCTATTACTGAGAGCATTTGTTTGTTCAAATCGAGCATGCATATCATTGTTGTGTAAAATAGTTAATTTAAAACTATCAGTTTTAGACAGTTTTTCTGGTGGAGCAGCAAAAATGTACGAAAAGAATAAAGCACAGCCAACAATCTTTAATATATTGTTCATTCTATAAAATTTAATCTACCTGAAATTTGATTTGAAATATTTGTGTTACAACAAAAAAAAAACATTATTTGAGCTAACGTTGTTGAAACAGAACTGAAGAAATACACTATACAAAAATTCAACCGTACTTTTTGATTCACAAAATCTATTATTTTTCCATATCTAAGCAACGAAAATGAATTAAGATTTGAAATAAAAAGTAAAATAACTATTGGATTCCCTTAAAATAGTGTTAAAATGAAGCATTTGTTTAAAGGTTTAAAGCATATGCTTGAAGGTATAAAGCTTGACGGATAAACCAAACATTTTTAAAAAGTTTTTTTTTAATTTTTTTCATCCAAAGTTTAATTTCATAAAAATAACAGTACACTTTAGTTTTTAAAAATTCGTAAGAAATTAAGTACAGCCCTTCTATAAAGCAGTACGGATCAAATGCAAAAACCAGATGTCTCTACGATGTCTCGTTAGTGAGATTTCTAATTGATTAACTTGCTTGCTTGCAGAAAGAGTAATTTGCGATTTTTTCAGCAATGCTGCAACCAATTTGAAATCTGTTTCTTGCACAAAATGTGAAATTCAGGCACATACTTTGCAAAAACAATACATTCACACGTGAATATGGTGTGAATTTAAAAAAATGTGCCGTGGACCAAAAAAGTTTGAGAAACACTGCATTAGTGTCGATTTTTCAAGAAATAAAATTTATCTTCTTCCAGTTTTTCCGGGATCATAAATAAAGCCAAAAGTAACTTTTGAAAAATAGAACTACACAATTTTAGTAATTTAAGATGTTAAAAATCAAAAAAAAATAATTTGAAAAAAAGTAGGTTATTCAAAAATTAAAAATATTTTTTAAAAATTTGTATTTTCTATGGTACTTTTTGCGGAAAAAACTGAAGGCCTTAGAAAGGACGTAAAATAACTTGAAAATTATGAAACAACAATTTTTTTTAAATCAAAAGTTAAAAAAAGAAATAAATACAAAGTCATTGACATGCTGTCATGTCTCGTGCGTAGACTAAAAAAAGAATATCAGTGAAGGTGAAAATTAGAATCACGAGACTAAATTATATATGTCTGCCTCGAAGTAAAGAAGAAAAGGCTAGGAAGTACATTTGGTTTATTGAAATTCCGATTGAACAATTTTGCATTTTCTAATAATTATATTTTTTGTTGAGAACAGCACTTTCTACAGTTAAATATAAAATATAAGTTTGGAGTTGAATTTCAATAATTTTGTTGATGTGGCATTAATGTATATATTGAACTATTGAATATTAAATTTTAATTAGACTAAAAGTTTTTAACTATATAAAACGAAATGTTTTTTTATACGTGACAATATTAAATTGGCATTGATTTTTTTAAAATTTTACAGGTACTTATGAGATTAAACTATCATAATGAATTATTGTTTTAATTTGTAAAATCACGATATAATCAACTTTGAAGAATTCCCATATCGCTAATTGATAACAGTAAAGTAACCACTTGAATTAAATACGTTTATTTTGTAGATAATTGTGATTAAAATTGTAATTCTTACTTGTTCATTAACACCTTAAAAATAACCTTCAGTTGAATAATTCTCTACGATCCGTTGCGATCAATATACAATAGTAAACTAATTGTTTGAGGTAATAAAACTCTTTAAAGTACTTGTACAAAAAGTACTTTTTGCAAAAGAGTGAGCAAGATTTTTTTTAAACAGCTTTCATGAATTTTCCTCTCCTCAGGTGTAACTATATAAAAGAGAAAATAATATCTGAACAAGATGACTGAAGTTTAACTACTGAAACTTTTCTCTTTGTTTTGTTATCAGTTGTTTGTGAATTCTTTTTTCTCTTCTCAATTAAAATCGGTATCATTCGCCTCTTCTCTCAATTGAAGATATCATTAATAATTAAACAATAAAAGACAAAATTTGTACGTGGAAAAGCAATTAAAAATAATTGTATAAATAAAATGTTTTACGTAAATTACTTAAAAGTACTTAATATAGTTTTATACATAATAAATACCAAATTGATTCGACTTTTAATTAAATTAATTAGTTAAGTAAAATATTTTCTAAACTAGTGTATCGGGTAGAAACCCAATTCGGATTATATTCACACCGTACCATCAAAAGTCTTATGGATAGACCAAGATTTGCCCAGCATAAGTATGAAGAAAGTAGGAGATATAAAGCTATAGCGAGTCAGCTGAGCTTCGCTCAGCATAAGTTTGAAGGTATAAAGCTTAACGAGCATTCTTTATAAGTTTTTTTAAAATTTTTCATCCAAAGTTGAATTTTATAAAAATCACAGTCAACTTTTGTTTTAAAAAATTCGTAAGAAAGGAAAGTTTTTGGTTTTTTCTGAAGCAACGGCTGTTCCTACCTTGCCCAAAAACAATACAGCTCTTCTATAGAGCAGCACGGATCAAATGTAAAAAACTAGAAGTCTCTACGATGTCTCGTTATTGAGATTTCTTGCTGATTAACTTGCTTGTTTGCTTGCTTACAGAAAGCATATTTTGCGATTTTCTCAGCAATGCCGCAATTTGAAATCTGTTTTTTGAAAATGATGTAAAATTTCTTCTGGGACATTTTATAACCAATTTTGCTTCGTTTTCTCACAAAATGCGAAAACTGATTTTTCAATCTGAACAAAACCAATAGATTCACACGTGAAAACGGTGTGAATAAAAAAAAATAATTTTTAAATATTTCGGATAATAAAACCGAAAAACGCAAATTTTATTTTTTTGTAATCGATTCATACGTATTTTACAAATATCCGAATGCACAAAATGTATTATGCATTAGCAGACATATAAAGATGTATTTGTATAACATCTGTTCTTATTTACAATAAAGCATAGGACATTTTTTTCAGTGAATCAAGTATTTTTGATAATGTGAGTGTTTACTCAATAATAAAATGAAATGAATATAAAAATGAAACATACTAGAGAAATACACAAAGTGCAGCTGTTTGTTTCAATTACCAATACACTCATTGTAAGTATGAAGCATGTATAATAAATTTGTAAAAGGAACTATTCATTCAGAACGCGTAGTATTAAATTCATGGTAAAAAGTTTGGTGCACATAAAATAAGAAAATAATTCTATTAATTCGGAATCAACAAACAAAATAATTAAAGAAATGAGTACTGAGGAATTTAGTAAAAAGAGGACATGTAATAAAAGAATAGCTGAAACAGATGTTGCAGCTCTAAGAGATGATTTTGATACAGTTAAAACATTGCGTATTATAGCTGACGAAGCAATATTTGATAATTCAAAGCCTAATGACGTGAACAACATAAAATTTATAGATGATGCAATAAAAACGTTGGAAGATCTTCAAAGAAATTTGAATGCAGATTGTAATGGTCTTGAAAGTCCTGAAACAAGTGATTGTGAGTTAGATGATGATAACAATGGATTTAACCAACACATGATTGAGGGTGCACATTTTTTAGGATACACAGCTTGTATTCAAGAAACTCTCCGATTTCTTGATGACTGTGGAATACCGGAAAGTGATCCTTTATATGAACAGCTTAAAAATCATTTTATTGAGTCATCAGATCGCACATAATATGAATGAATTTCAAATGAAAGATAAAAATTTTTTATTAAAGGAACTTGTTTACTAGTCATTAATATAAGAACTTTTAATTTTTAATAAAAATGATTTTTCAATAAGAATAGAGAAATTGTATTTTACATATATTTGTTTTTGATAATGCCATTCATTAAGATCTGTACAACTTTAAAAATCGATCAGCACTTAATGAAGTAACTTAACTTAATCAAAGCATCTCTTTTTGATGTTTAAATCAATCGCCCCTATCCTCGCTCATTCTCCTAATTCGTGTGTCTGCCGTTCTTAATTCTGCTTCATCAATATAAAGCACACTTTCAACAACTCTATTATTCTCTAGATCTTCGGAAGCATTTGATCGAGTGATGTCTTTACTTTTTCGAGCTAATCATGGAAAATAAATTTTTGACTATTACGAAAACATTTTATTAGTTGTTACTTGTTTAAACATTTTCAAAACAATGAAATTTTAAATAAAAATAATTTTAAAAAAACTTTACCTGAACAACAAATACCCATTACTTTTAGCGTTGAACTTCAAATGCAAACTGACAGTTCTATTCATTATCGTAAAATGGATCGTGTGCTCTTATCAACAAACATAAATACAAGATTTTTTTTATTGCTTTTTACATTCACACGTTTCTTACTGTTTCGCAGTTTCTTCATTGAATTACCATATTTGCCACATAATTATCTTAAATCATAATAAAAATAAAAAAGATTGAACATTTACAGGGATGTATAAAAATAACTTTTCCATTTTGAAGAAAATAATTGTTTTATTATATTTTTATTATCATTATGTGAATGTGACATTTACATTTTTTTTGTATATTACTAAATAAACAAATATTTAACTGTGTCGTGATTTTTATTAGATTCTTTCAAATACACAATATTTTAGTCATCTGCTTCGTTGATTATCAATTTTAAACTCGTGTGTGACTTCATAATATTGCCTTTTTGACGATGCTTCACACTTTATTTCTTGAGAATTTCCGTTGTAATTTTTTTGCGACTGAAGCGGTATTTTATGAGCTAGTTTAAAAACCAAGTAATATTAGTTTTACATTTTAAGCGTATTGTATCGATATTAATATATAAAAACTTAATGTAAGACATACTTGAACAACAACACCCCATTTTTTTAAAAAAATTGAAAAAAAATATAATACACTAGCTTGTTTAAAAAATAACAAGTAAATAGCTAGCTATAATTTAGTGTCATTATCTCGTTCAATCTTTCCTCACGAAAATTATATTTTAAGATATCGTTAATCGATTTAATTTGAAAGATAAAATAGGTAGATAATAAATTTATATCATAATCTTAACGAGTTAAATTGTTTTTAAATTCTTTGTAGATTTAAATGTTTAATATATTTTCGACCGTTTTGCTCTCCTAAAAACAAAGCATCTAAAACATACATAAGACAGTATAATAAATGTTTTTTAATAATTAAAGTATTTTGGACTTACAAATACTTTGTTTTATTAAATATTCATGACGCAAAACATAGGTACAAAAAATAATAAAATTCGATGTTGATTTAAAATTTAAATTTTAACTTATATTTGTACTACTACTAAGATTTTCAACTACCACAAGTAAAGCAAAATAATAATAAAAGTTTTTTGTTTCCACTTTTCTGTTTAAAATATTTAAAAAATTATGGGCAATTGTTTGGCAAGTAATTCAACTGACGATTTAACATTATTAAATGGAAGAAATGAAGGTCCTCGAGAATCAATTGATCAGGAACCAGTCTTACAGTTTCAGGTAAAGTTGAAATTTGCGTAATTTTCTGCTAAAGAGAAATGACTTATTTTCTTTATTTTTATTATTGGTTTTCTTTGTTTAATAATCTAAAATTTTACTCTTTAGGTAGTATCATTTTGCATTATATTTTTAATTGAAATAAAAAAAAAAGAACAATAACATAATTATAATCAGCATGGATCACCCAAACTTAATCGAATATAAATTACTAATTTTAAGGAAAATGTGCAACCAACTTACAGCCAAGTAGGAACTACAGTTCATCAATCGTTGACTGAAGATGAGCAAATAAAGATAGCTAAAAGGATTGGAATCGTTCAGCATTTACCTATATCACAATACACACATGAAAATTTCCAATCAAAGAAAGTGCCGAGTGAATGCGATATTTGTATGAATGATTTTGTTGTAGGTATGTAGAATTGACTTGCATGAATTAATTTAATGTTTTTCTTCCTCAACATTTTTACCACGTTTAACTTCATTTACCAACTTTTAATTTTTAGGTGACAGTATTCGTTATCTTCCATGTATGCATCAGTATCATGTGCACTGTGTGGATAATTGGCTTATGAGATCACTTACATGTCCGTCTTGCTGTGAGCCTGTAGATGCATCTCTTCTCCTTTCGTCATTTGAAAACGTTTAAAACTACCTAGAGTTATTTATATTCAACATATGAAATGAACCTGATTTTTATTACGACAAAGTTTGTGTGTTTCAACTAATTTGATATGAATATCGGTGATTTAATTTTTTACTTTTACGATAAGTTGATAAATTCAAATTTTTTGAAATGGTTGGAAACATTATAGGTACTTTAAAAAATTCAATGAGTTAAAAAATAGAGAAAAAAAAAAATTGATTGCATTTTTGCATTAATTAGGTAAAGCAATTTATCTCCATTTTTTTTTTAAAAAATTCTGAAATTATTTCATAAATATTCTCATTAAAAACATGGTTTTCTATTGATTAAAGCGGTTTTATATTGAAATATCTGGGCAATTCTACAGATAAATTTTTGAAAATTTCACACCAAGAATTCATTTTTCTCTTATTTCTTCCTCTAAAGTTCTTCAAATATCCTTTTAATCTGATGTATTTCATTTAAACACTTGCTAACAACTTATCAAGAAGATCTTTTATGCTATGATGAGAAATTTCAATTTTTGGGAAGATATCTCGGAGACAAAAATCGGAATTTTTTTATTTTAGCATCCGTAGAATTGAAAATTTCTATGTCAAAAAAACCTTTTTATATCATCATACGTATACTAAAGGATAGGAAATTAAGCGTTTTATCTACCAAAGTATTAATTCAAGTGAGTTAAAAAGAAATTTTAGAAGATAAATCAATTTTCTGATATAAAATTATTTGTCCGAGAAATTTTGAGCTTTTATTTTCCTAATCCTAATTTAATAAAAAAAATGAAATTTTACTTTAATTAACAAGAATAGAAATAAATAAAGGTGTTTATCTGGTTTCAATTTAGTAAAAGTGTAAAATAATGATCTCAGTAATCTAAGAAAATAATTAAATTAGTTGAAAAACACGAACAAAAACATAAAGACGTGTTTCATTGAAAATCAAAAATAAAACATGTTTTATTTTCAATGAAACATGTCTTTATGTTTTTGATCGTGTTTTTCAACTAATTAATTTATTTTCTCAGATTACTGAGATCATTATTTTACAAAAAGCTAAGTTAAATTACATTTTTTTAAGCCTCAAATTTTCAAATAACATGGATTATAAAAGCTCATTTTTTTCAAAATTCAACTTATCTGTAGAGTTGCCCATCTACAACATAATGAGAGTTTCATTTAAAATTATATTGTCATTAACGGGAAAATTGCAGAAAAATGCGTCAGTTAATTTTTAAACGATTATTACAAAACAAAATTTATTTATTTACAATTTTGAATTTTGAGGTTCAAAATCAGATAAAGGAAAGATGAAAACATATATTTTAAATGAAAATCCTCCTTTTAAATGTGTAATTTAGCTAAATTTTGCAATTAAAAATGTTTGTAAAAAATGTCTCAATATCGTTTACTCATGGAATTACCGAAATATTCTTTGCAATATGATCATAATTGAATCATCATAAACTATAAGTCTATGAAAGAACACAATGTAAAATCATTTTTAAAATAATGTTTGATAACACAAATTATTTATTTTTTTTCATTGATCATTGATTGATAACTTTTGTTTTCTTGTTTCAATGATCTTCGCTTTTATTGGTGGGCAATTAAGGGTGGGCCACATGATTAATCCAAAATGTTAAAACTGGGTCCCCCAAGATTAAAAAAATTCTGATAATCTTCAGGATAATCCATATACTAAAATTATTTTTTCGCTAAATTCACTTTACAGTAAAAAGATCTTTTCTCAAACTCGTTTGATCATTACTAAACAAGTAATTCTACACCAGCAAAAAATTATTTGGATTTTTCTCATATCAAAGAAATAGATAATCCGAAAATGAGGATTATCCACCTTTGTGAAATCGACCGATTGTTCTCTTGTTTACACAATGCGATTGTTCCTTAAAATTAACTAATGAATCTCAAAGAAACATCACGAGGCTAAAACTACTTAATCTCATAATAGTTTTGGTATACTATTCATAATTTAAATCCGTTGCTTTTATTTCTTCCTTTCATTAATTAAGGGAAATTATTTGCACCAAGTGGAATTTCTGAAAAATGAGTTTTTATAATCCATAGTCAATTCCACTTGGTGCAAAAATGTCTTGTTTAAAATCTCTCCGGTGTTATTGTATTGAATGCTTAATTTAATTTCAATGGAGCTACTTTAATTAATTACACTTTAAACAAAAAAAAAATTGATATTAAAGTGTGGAATTTATTATAAGTTCAACATTTTTGTGAATTTTTATTTTGTATCTTTCTCACGGATTTGGAAATAAAAGCTCATTTATAACTCATTGACACAAAAAATTTCCAAAATATTAAAAAATCTCGTCGTTATGTAGGGAGTATGTTAATAGATTAAAGTTCAATTTTATCATCTATTGCCTGTTATTTAGGCACAGACATAATAGTTTTCTCTGATTTTTAAATCTTTGAATGAAGGTTCCAACGAGTTGTTGACAAAGAATCCAAATAACTTATTTAATGCATAGTTTCTATATTCAGAACTAAAATAATCTGAAAGATTTTGGCCTGATCAAATAATTATACCAACAGAATGAGAGTAGAAAATTAAGTAAAAAAATCGATGCTTCGATGTAAAATTCTAAAAATCGTTTTGCTTTTTTGTCTGTCTGTATTTAAAAATTCAAAATCTCTTTTTCGAAAAATTCCACGGTGTGGAAAGTTTCCCAAATAATGCACGGTAATAAAGATATCTCAACGAATCCTTAGACTTATAATTTTAGGATTCGATGGAATATTTTAATGGATAAAGGCTCAGAGAATTTTTTGGATATTTTGGGATTTTTGGAATAGTTTCCACTTTTTGAAAAATTCAAAAAGGCCAAAATCTTTGAAAATTGATGATTGCGTGTAAATGATCAAACTCTTAAAGTATTTAAATATCTGAACAATTTTTTTCACTAAAAACTCCAAATCGAATTTGATCAAAAAGTAAAAAACCAGTTTTAAATTTATCACTAATACATTTAAAAACTAATTTCAACTGATTCTTATAGGTATCATTTAAAAAGTTTAAATATTAGAATTTCATCAACTCATTCTTATGTAGATAACGAATATTAAAAAATCATGCATTTTATGAAGTTTCTTTTTCTGTGTCACTATAAAATAGGAATTTTAACTTTTTATAAATATTAATATGTATAAATACAAGATAAAATGTAGACTGTGATTTTTGTGGAAATTAATAAATAAATATTATGATCCCTAATGTTGTATTTTTTTATTAATTAAACTTTTTATTTATTTACATTTAAGTATGTAAAAAGTTTACATACATTTTGTTGCTTTTGGTTTTTTAAGGTTTCAGGCATTCCAATGCATTCCAATTTGCCTTTTGTCACTTAATTTTTGATTCAGTTTATGGATTTTGCTTTATTTGATTTTTAATTTGATTTTGAGACGCAAGACGACTGTTGAAGTTCACTTGAAGCTTTTCGACTTAGTCTTCGATGGACGGTATTTTCGCTTCTGTATGAAGATCGGTGATCCTTTCATATCTTGTTTTATTGAGAATAATTCTCAAGAATTTGTTTTACAGTACTTGAAGTTTTTGTAGGATCATGCTGGACAACCATATGTAAATATTGGTCTGATGACTAGCATGTAGATGAGAAGTTTGTTTCGCACGTCGAACTGTGAGTTCCTGCTGATGAGCGGATAAAGCTGTCTTAATGCGGTGTGAGCCCTATTGGTCACATACTCCACATGCGGCTTTAATGTCACTCTATTGTCGATCACCATTCCAAGTTATTTAGCTTCTGTTCCCCATTTGATGTTCTCGTTGAGAAATTTGATGTTGTTTCCTGGAAGTTGCCTGGAGTGCCTGTTTGTGATGAATAAGGCTTGAGTCTTCTATTTGTTGAGGTTGATCTTCCATTTGTTCATGTATTGTTGGACTTTTCTTCCTGTGTGCTGTAGATGTGTCACAATATCGGCTGAGTTCTCTGCAGAATGATACAGTGCTGTATCATCTGCGAAAAGACCGATGTTGTTGGTTGTCTCTCTTACAACATCATACGTGAAGATGTTGTAGAGAGTTGGTGAAAGCACTGCTCCTTGTGGCACTCCGAATTTGATTACCTTGATTTCTGAGAACTGACCTTTAATAAAAACTGCGAAAGATCTTTCACTGAGGAAAGATCTTACAGTTTTTATAAGTGGCAGTGGAAATCTCAGTTTGAGCATTTTGTACAAGAGTCCGTTATGCCAGACTCTGTCAAATGCTTTTTCTACATCCAGGAAGATCATGCCTGTTGACTTTTTGTTGTTTAAGTTTTCTTTTGCTTATTTGATCACTTTGATGAGCTGATGAGATGTTGATCTTCCGGTCCGGAAGCCGCACTGCTGGCTTGGGATGATGTTGGTATCCTCAAGATGATCGTTGATTCTGTTCAGCAATACTCTCTCCAATATTTTGCTTATTGAGATGAGTAGATTTATTGTCCTGTAGCTGCTTAACTCATTTGCTGGTTTCCAGGTTTTGGAATAGGAATCACTTTTGCGTGTTGTCAAACTTTGGTGAAGTGATTGCGTTTGAGACACGAATTGATGATGAATTTCAAGTATTCGAAACCTTTTTTAGGAAAATTTTTGATGAGTATGTTGTTGACTTTATCTAGTACCGGAGCTTTGAGATTTTTCAGATTTCTTATGATGCTCACGATTTCGTTAACATTTGTTAATTCTGGATTCTCATGATTGTCTTGTTCCAATGCTTCTTTGACTATGTTGTTTACTTCCTGTGTATGTTGTGGGTCGTTTTGTTCCAGAGGATTTTCGTGAGCTTCACGAAAATACTCACTGAGTATTTCTTTGTTGGTGATGACCGTTTTACCCGAATTTGTCAATGAAGCAATGTTTTTGAACCTTTTTAGCGCATTTTTGAAACTTGTTTCGAAAAGGTAGCTTAATAATTCACTTTGTTCTTTCGTTCGGGCGGAGAAAAACTTTTTAACTAGACATCGTAGAGA